CAGGATGTGAAGCCACAGTCAGGTCTCCATCACAAAGGCCAAGATGTTTAAATCCACTAGAGGTATTCAGACCCCTGCTGTGGAAGGCAGCTTCCTTCCCATGCAGATCTGGATACCAAACATATGCAGTGCTATAGCAGGAACTTGGCCCGTTTTGAACCCAAATGTGCAGATCAGATTTCTGCTTAGAAATACTTAGATGCAGAGGAGCAAGCCAAAAATGGTGGTGTGGAAACAGGAGAAGCAATACTACAATACAGCCATCCTCGGGGCCTTCTTTTCAGTTTTCTCTAGTAGGTTGGTCTCTCTTGTTGTTCTGTGCGTAATCTACAGCTGTCTGAGTCTAATGAGCTAAATGAGTGTATGAGCCTCAGTTGGGTGCCCATTGGCTTAGCAGCTACAGCTGCACACAGGGGAGCAGCAGCGCATCCTGGGCTGGCTGGGCTGTGTATAAAGGGTGGCACCAGCTGCAGCTCTCTAACTGTGGGAAGGATGTGTAGGGAGGGTGAGGCTGCTCAGGCTTGTGGCAGTGCAGAGAGGGATGCCTAAGACTAGCCGCTATGTATGTTAGTCTTCTTGAGAGTCTTTGCATCCACCCATGCACAGTTAAATGAGGTTTAGACTTTCTTTGATATAGCATTAGTTGATATCAAGCTGTTGAGTGAATTTTAGCTGTTTGCCAGGCTGAGGAAGAGGCTGGGCAATGTGAATGTGGAATCCAAATGCAGGGTGAAATGAAAGGCGGTTTCTGGGAAATGGCTTGAGGCTATGGCAAATGCGCATCCAGACTTTCACAAATTGGGATTTATTCTTCAACAGGGAAATGTGTTTTGCAGCATCGTCTGCATCTCTCTGAATACAGAATATTCTGTACACAGACCGATGATGAAGAAGTAGCTTTAGTGAGCACAACCTAGTACACATAGGGGGCTTACACAGTAGAAGGAGTCAGATGGGAAAATGGAAAGTAAGTTTTATTGTAGACCAAATGAAATGAGCTAGAACTAAGCTTTCCAGGGAGAGCAGGATCTGGTCTCCTCTCTTACAAGGCAGGGGTGCACCCAAGAACAAGATGAAAAAACAGATTGGCACATGCTTGTTGGTGGATAGCAACATTAGACATAAAATACATCAGCAATGCTCAAAATATATGAAACAAAAAAAATCAAAGTGGTTGAGTCACCATCCCTGGAAGTATTTAAAAGACGGGTAGATGAGGTGCTTAGGGACATGGTTTAGTGGGCATGGTGGTGTTGGGTTGACGGTTGGACTCGGTGATCTTAGAGGTCCTTTCCAACCTTAATGATTCTATGATTCTATGAAATTTGCTACAACAAGTGACATCAAAAGTTCTAGCTGATAGAACAAGGAGGAAACAGGATAATGTTCTGTTAAGGTTACTTTTCCACAGTAAGAGGATGTTTGGAAAGAGAGAACTCCAAGAGATAAAGTTCAGTGATTTTTCTTTTTTAAGGCACAAGAGCACAGGTTTACGTAGCAAAACAAAAGCAGATTATTGTACAGACCTCATGTATGGAAGGGGAGAGCCAACACTGCAGCATGCTTTCAGTAGTATTCTTTTCAATCTTGATAAGAAACACGAGCTATTG